GCAACATAAACCAGCAAAAGTCAAGAAGTAAATCATAAACAAAACCAAAGTCTGGCAGAGTAGATCATGACATATTTATGAGCCCAACCATTGTCCCGTTTGTTTTGGTGGCTGTTTATGTACAAGGCAAGGATTATTTACACTAGAAATTCAAATAGGATACTATGCTTCACCAATGAAATCCCTGAGTTAAACAGCTTTAAAACATAACATCAGAAGCATTTACCATTAGAATAAGTGATATGAAAGCAAAGTGGTATAAAATCAATTAATAGTGATGACTTATATTCCCCTCGCTTTCATTTTAGACAGCTGCTCTGAACGGAAAGGCTTCACAGGTTCTGCTCTCGGTTCAGATAAAGACCAGTTGTGATGCCACACCTGTACCTAAATATTCCATATAAATAATCATTGTAGTCTATGTAAACACTCATCCAGTGAAGTTGGGTTAGTATAAAGTCTTATAAAATAAACTCCCTTTAAATAGCCATACCTTTTTGATGCTGGTTGTGTTTTAACATGATTAACAACTGATCTGGATTTATTAAAAACAAAGAACTGATCATAATTATCTACTAATGTACTATGAATTGCTGACTGTAAAATAAAATGCATTCACTAAGCAAAGACAGGACAACCAATCAAATCTTGCTAAGGAACATGAGCTAAAACTATCAGGGGTCTTTATGACAGGCTGTGTCATTGGAAGTGAAGGAGAAATAAAACCTCTACTTATGAAATAAAGAGGCATTGTAAAGTATTTCTGGTACTAAAGTAAAACATGCAGATGATAAACATTCAGGAGAATTTGAGCTCAGTCATCTCTCCTCATAACTCCGTGTTATCTGCTCTCTTTGAAAAACAAGGAAGAGTGTTTACAGATAAAAAGGGGCGATTGAGTGTCTGTTATTCTAATTTTAGTGTTTTTAGCAAAGATGACATAGCAACCACAGTTTGGATTCATTAAAGTTAGAGCTCTTATTGACTCCAAAGAAACACTGCACGCATACCATGTCCCTCCCTGGTTAGTTCTGCCTCCAGTCTCATAGCAACAGGTGACTCTGAGGTGTGTTGTCTTCAGATTAGTCCACATTTGTGTTGGGGAGAGTGAAGACAGAAAGATTATTTTTGCAACAATTGTTCACTTTAGTTCAGCCTGTGTGCGTGTGTGCATTTAAATCTGCATCCAGCCAAGCATAAACGAACACATTCTGACTTGACAGATCTACACATTTATTCTCAACACGTCTATAGTGTTAGTAGATGGTTTGCAGTTTCTTCTTCCTTCCTTATTCTGTTCGCTTTCTGGCAGACAACTTTTTCTTTGTTCTTTTCTTACTTTATTCATTTCTCATTCATTTTTCAAACCCTATGCTGAGAGAGCACTTTAGAAAGTAGGCTTTTTGCAGCCTGGGTGAGCTTCCTGACTGCCCAACAATGTCACCAATAATGGTGCAAGACTGGAAACTTTACATAGACTCATAATTACTTTTAAATTACTGTTTGGGTAAAAGCTTCTAAAGGAGTCTAAAAGAAATTTCTAATTTTAATAAGTTTGATTTTAGCTGGGTTTTTTACTAACCCCCACTATCAATATAAAGTTTTAGTTTAATAGCTTTAAATCCTTACAGCTAATAAACTGAAGTAGAATTTCTGACTAAGCAGTGTTGTGCCAGTTCATAATTAAAAGAACAATCTCAAAGTTCAGTTCACATTTACGGTAGAGAAATATTTTGTTTTATAATATGGAGGAAAACCATCTAACAGATCTTTGTGACACGTTGTTGAATTTATGCCACACATTTTTAAGGTAGTTCTGTAGTAAAAGAGGGAAGCTTCTAAAAAAAAAAAAAATTTTAGATTTCCGTGTAGAAAGCAGTAGAAAAACAGGGTGGAGTTCCAAATTGCTGCACCTTAGACGCTGCCAGATAATCATTAGATGGCATTTGGCTGTTTAAAGGGTAATCTACCAACAGCCCAGTAGCTTTGCCAGACTTGTGCCGCACAGATGTAACGTTGAAGGGCAGATTTAATCCAGCCTGACGGCGTGCAGCTCACATGTAACCCTCATCAAAAGCGCCAGCACACCATTGAAATAAAAAATAAAAAGTTGTCACCACCAATCTGCCCACCTGTAATCACAGCCTGGGGGGTGGGGGTAGAGGGGGGGAGGAAAGATAAATGCCAAAAAATGAAAATGCTTTTGCCCTTGTTGTGACACCGTTAAGGAGCTTAGCGAGGAGAGAATTCACAATACCCAACTCATAGTGAATTGCTATCGATGAGCGCACATGCACAGAACCGGCAGCACTGCATGGCCAAACGTTTACACGCGGCAGACTTAAATCCTAGAGACAAAGCCCCCATCTTCAGAGTGAAGGGGAGAGAGTTTTAGGGCTGAGAGAAATCCTCAAGTCGCTGTTGAAGATGAATTAGTTCCAGGCAGGGATAAAAAGATTATAAAGTTAACCAAAAACTCTGGTGTTGCTCTAACATCTTGTCCTTAAATTAAAAAAAGAAACCTGCCAGTACTAGAATGGAGTGTGAGGGTCGGGGGGGGGGTTAGGACGGAAAACCAGCAATGAAAGAAAATCTCATCACAGGGAATGAATTATATAATAGCATGCCAATGCAAACCCAGTTCTGTGTAATCTGTGG